ACTATGACATGGTCTCTATCATGCAAATAGGTCGAAAATGGTGTGAGTCATGCTATAGATCACTGACAAGTTTTACGCGAGTCCCAACTTGCATATTACGCATGAGTGTTTAACTTGTGACACACCAACTGCCGACCTTCTGGCCAAAAGAAATGTGGTCGTTTTCAGGGCAACACTATTCATACAAACAGTAGAAGTATTCGGTCATTAGGTGGGATACTAACGAATTGTCACCCACTACTAGCTACTTTTACTCAAATAGAGCAGAAGTTGAAATTTTTGCTCATACTCTGAGCAAACTGGAGGGATACTACTTGAAATTCCTGTCTGGTGTTGCTGAAAACTCGCCGTCTGTCGATGTATTGGTGTTTGGAAATGCTCCAGTCCAAGAATATTGAGTCAGTTTGATAGAGGGGCGTGATTCATATGATCCATAGAGTTGGCCAAGTTTTTTCGTATTTCAAAAAGTGTAGCAACTGACTATATTAACACTGATGGAAACTGCATGGGCTACAAAGAAAAAATTTGAATTATTATCAACGATAACGTTGTTTGAGATTGAAGACTTCTAGGTTTAGATCTGTTCCAGTGATAAATTATGTTTGTTTTTTCTATTTACTTTGAAAGTTGTAACCTTTTTCTGCTGACGCAAGAAATTCACTCAATTTGATTGTCATACATCAAATTCACATCCAATTTTTTTGCTAGGAGGCCACTTGGAAAATAATTTGTTTCTATCTTAGTCAGTGAGGGATTAGCTTTTCCATATACTTTTGTCAAGACTATCCTCAGATACTTCAAAATCCATATTTTATTTCACAATGTTATATACTTCCGAACAAAATTCCAGTTTCACTTATGTAGCGGCTTCGCTTTATTCCTCATTTTCTTCTCCACAGGAACCTACCTGAGAATTCGTCAGGAAGGCTCCTATGGATGAACCACCATATTCTGTAGGACATTCATCTAATTCTGCGGATTACGCCTAATTAACAGATTGGATAGTATACTAGTATTATCACCGAATTTACATGAAATAGATGTAATGTAATATGAAAATAAATATTACCGACTGATATACTTACCGTTGCGAACCAAAAAATTGATAACAACTGGAAATGAAGAGACGTAGTAGTACTCTATCGAAGCTCAATATTTGAAAGCTATAGAGAGCAGTTCGAATGGTGATAGCTTTCGGGCGAAAGCAATTCGACATCTTTCACTTCTTCCACTATTTCTGATACAGAGGTAATAAGATCAGAAGGCATCTTCAGATTCACCATGCCAAAGGCATTCAAGGTCGTTTATGATCGAACAAAAAGTCACTCTTTGACTAATGATGTTGGTTTCGTTTCAAAGAAGAATTTAAAAGGCATTCGCAAAGTCACACCTCGACAAGTGCGTTCAAAGTCACTTGTGGTTGAAGAAGGTAGTGGGATGTCGACGTAATCTCAATCTCAGTCAGGAGACCTCTATGAAGTTACCTTATCAACTCCTTTTTGGTGGACTATTCAATCGAGCTAAAGAGTCAGGTAACTGGGAGCTTTATAAAACCACTTTAACGACATACAATAAGGAAATTAGAAAGGCAAAACGAAAGTCTTGAAGAAAGTTCTGTGAGAGTATCACTGATTTACCTCTCAGCGCAAGAATTCACAAGATTCTCTCTAGAGAGCCGACTGCTGAAATTGGGTCGCTTAAACGACCCGATGGGATATTTACGACCTCTAGTAAAAAAACGTTAGAGCTTTTGATAGAAAACCACATTCCTGGAAATCTGACTCTGAATAACAACCGACCGCCCATATTCGAGGGCGCTAAACACCGAACAAAGAACGACTGGGACATCGCAAAAAAGGTTATCACAGCACCGGCAGTTGAATGGGCTATCAAGTCTTTTCAGCCCTTCAAATCTCCTGGAGAGGATGGTATATTTCCAGCTCTTCTTCAAAACGGACTGGAAATAATTTTACCTATTCTCACGTGGAAGTATATACCACCCAGATGGTTGGCAGCAAGGGTGGAATATATACCTTAAGTGGGCCGGAGAGACCCACACCCTAAATCGGTACGACCAATCAGCCTTACATCCTTTCGGCTGAAAGGACTTGAGAGGATACTGGACGGACTTATCAGGAGGGTATGCATCTCCACTGAATAACCACCAGTATACTTATCAAACCAGCAAATCGACAAATTCAGCATTGAACAACCTCGTTGAGAAAATGTCCCAATCTCTTGACAACAAGGAGATTGCGGTTGCTGTATTTCTTGACGTTGAAGGAGCATTTGACAATGCACTACCCAAATTTATAGGATTGTCTCTGGCTAGAAAGGGTATAGAATCGACCATAACTGGCTGGATCCATGTCATGCTAGTAAACAGAACTGCAACTACGACTCTTCGAAGCGAGGCTGTCAGGTTCAGGGTCACCAGGGGCTGCCTTCAGTGGTCGCTCCTGGTGGATAGTATGCTTGATGCCCTCGACACAAGAAAAGTTGATCTGCAAGCTTATGCAGATATGACCTCTGACTTTATGCCTCCAACTGTCAACTACGAACTGCCTCACAAAGTACTATTCCCGAGTAGAGAGGACTGGATCCTACGGGAGAAGGAAATATTAAGAGCAGATAGTTGTTGGTTCACAGATGGATCAAAAACACCTTCCGGTTCTGGTGGAGGTGTTTTCAGTCGCAGACCTAGGACAGAGTTGCCTACCTGCCTAGGAACCTATGCTACTGTATGTCAAGCGGAAAATTACTCTATTGAATTGTGTGCGGAGAGATTGGATAAATCCAACCTCACTCACAAGTTGATAAAATATTTTCAGACAGTCAAGCGGCGTTGGAAGCTCTTGGCTTCTACCGAGTAGCGTCTAAATTGTTAGCAAACTGTCAAAAAAGACTCTCCCCGATAGGATGTCGATAACCCTTCTTGCCACCTGGATGGCAAGAAGGGTTTTAGACTTCTGGCAGAATCTTCCAGGATTGGCTCACTCCAAGGCGTTCATTCACCCTTCGAAGCTTTATTCCAAACAGTCGTTGGTCTACAGTAGGGATGAACTACGATTTCTAACAGGCATTCTTACAGGTCACTGTCATTTGAATCATCACATGCATAGACTTGGACTGTCGTAAGACAGTGTGTGTCGCCTCTGTCTGGAAAATGATGAAACTGCAGAGCATATACTTTGTGCCTGCCCCACTGGGGACCGAATCGGGTTCTTTGAGTTCGGCAGATCCGTACTCCTACCATCTGACCTGAAATATCACTCACCATACAAACTAATCGTATTCGTTAAGAAGCTGGGTATATTTGGTCGAGTGTGAATAGGTATGAGCCACAATAAACCCTTATGGGTTGCGATGGAGGGTCGAATAGGACCCACTCACTTCAGATCTACCTAGCTACCTTATCAAAACGTTATTCGAAATCGTTCAGAATCAACCACCCTTGGAGTCATCATGTTTGGGACACACATTTGCATAAAAATTCAGTATGCTTGATACTGACTCTTGTGAGTGAGCGGAGTATATTTCCCATGAGATATAAAAGGTTGGGAAGAATGGTGCACCATTTTACCCAATTCAGAGACTAAATGGAGTTGGAGGCCATCCTCAAAATAACCTTGCCAAAAGCGTTCAAAGTCGTTCAAGACCAAACCTAAGTCATCCTGAAGCACGAAGTGTCAAAGTCATCTCAAGGTCAGTTGAAATGCGCTCTCAAGTCACCTTTCGAAGTACGCTCAAAGTCGTTCGTCACCGCTGGTAACTTCACGGTCATGGCATTAGTTAAGGTCGAAATCATTCTTGGTCGAAGAGAGTTTCTCAAAATCAAACCCAAAATCATTCTCAAAGTGAATTCGGAGTCTTTCCAAAGTGAACATCAAAATCCTCGAGGTCACTTACATAGGATGATAGATATTTGCAAAAATATTCAGTACACTCGGAACTGACTTGTGAGTTTGTGGCCCCCCCTTTTTAACTTAATCAATAAGGTAGAGAGAAAGATATATTTGCTAACTGATCTTGACAATAGCATTGCTGAAAGTCATTCAAAGTCGAACCAAAAACCCTAAATTTCCTCACCGAAACCGTTGAAGTCATATCCATTACATCGTTTAATGGTCAAATGGTGTGGGGAGGTTCGAAATAAACCAGCTACTGGGTAGTCTGATCAACAAGTTCAAAAACATGAAAAATAGGGATAAAGGTCCTACAAATATAAGCGATAGCAGTTTCGATTCGGAATCACCTCTAGAAAAATATTTTTGAAGGATTTTGGTGCAGGTGAAAAATTGCAATTGTTATTAACAATGAGTTTGGGAAAAATTTGTTAGTTAACAATTGAATAACTTTTTGAAAAATGGTGATAAAACTTTTTCCCACGGTACTGGATTCATTCAAGTGTTGGAAGATACTAGATTTTTATCAAATTTTTGAAACGACATTTTATGTTATAAAAAAATTATTTCTTTTGATAAACTCCCTTTAGCGCTTATGCCGTAACAGCCGCGCGGAACCCTATATTCAACGTCAAATTAAAATTATAAATAATGGAGATAGAGTTTCGAAACTCCAGACTTATTTTATCGAAAATTTCCTCTTCTTTAACGAGCTCTTTTCGAAATTGCTTATATGTTGATATTTTTTGAGTTATTAATGAAAAACTAAATACCATTTTTTTCAAATCTTATTTTGATAATAACAATTACAATTTTTCACCTGCATTAAAATCCTTCGAAAACAGTTTTTTAGAAGTGATTCTGAATCGATTGAGCTATCGCTCATATTTTTAGGACTTATCTCTCTTTTTTATGTTTTTGAACTTGCTGATTAGACTAGAGGGTTTGTTAGATATTTCGTTGAAGAGTGATTGGAGTGTGATCCAAAAGATAACTGAATTTTGTCAGGTTATTATAATCAATCAAATTCATATACTCGTAACCCATCAATTTCAAGTCAATGCACAGATCAATTCAAATTACAGTCATTTTCAGGCCGCCCAGGTATTCTCATTATTTTCTGCATCTCTCGAAACATCGTCAACTGTTATAACCTTTACTCTGTATGAATTAGCAACTAATACACATATTCAGGAGAGGCTTAGGAAAGAAATAAATGAAGTTTTAGAAAAGCATAAAGGTCAACTGAATGATGTCGCTTTGAATGAAATGATATACCTCCGTCAAGTGATAAACGGTAAGATTTTCGCATATTTCATCATTATATTTTTCCTGATAGGTGGGATTGGAACCTAGGGAAAAAATTAATCTGATGAAAACTCATTGACTTTCAGCGTATCTAGTAGGCACTCTTCTATTTTTTCACGAAGTTTGCTCCATGAAGTAACGACATATAAGAGTAGTTCTGATTGTAGAAAACGACTGCAGTCACTAAGCTGGTACTACTATGGAATTTATAACGAGTATCAAGATCAATACTACCCTGATGTGAACTTGCGGTCTGCCATTAATAGTTTTTCTTAATGAATATATGAATGTGGAGTACCGCGTCAAATTTCCAATATAATATAAGTATAACGGAAAATATTAATATTTCAAGTAACAGGGATTTTTAACGGAAGCAAGTAATTTTAAAATAATTTGATTAATTTATCTGAGTAACACAAGTTGAAAAGGTGACGTCCTATTTTCTAGAAAACAGAATGTGTTTGGATAGGAGCAGGTCTTCCAAGAAAGCTTGGTTGATTTTGAATATAGGGACGTGAAATGGGCAGGTTCCTCATTGTGGATGATTTCAATTTCAGATCACACCCCTTTGGGCATCCACAGTGTTTGAATCAACTTCATTGAAATTTGTGTATTGATGGCATTCTCAACCTTGTACATTCAGAAATATCAGGAATTCCAGTTAGGGATATATTCGAGCCCGGGCCAAAGCTCAGTTCGAAATTGAGCTAAGCCTCGAACAGAATCACGGATTTTTTCACGAGCCGAGCCCAAGCCACAAGATCTCGGACCGAGCCAAGCTTTTGGGTCGTTTCGAGCTATTGAGAGGGTTTTGATGACTTTTTACCCCTTAGAGATAGCTTTATGAAAATCAAGTTATGGATGTCATCAAGTATCAAACTAAATGAAATTAGAGGTTCTCGCTATCTTTTCAACCCCTTAAGGGTTGATTCGTTGCAAATCCTGACATTAAATGAGGATAGCGAGAGGAGGTGGTGAGAGGAGGTGGAGAAGAAAAAAATATAACACAGAATGGTCAAAGCAGTAGGTATATGTATTTTTGCAAATTTGACAATTTCGAAAGTATGCACATGTTCAGAACGAAACCGCGTAGAACTCAACGTTACTGTAATCGAATCATGACAGAATTCATTAAAGGAACATTTATCCAAAAACATCAGCTATAAAACAACAGTCATCACTAAAGTATACTATCTCAATTTTTCATAACGTTCTTTCTCTCTCCTAATCGTACAGCTTGGAGTTATTCAGTTCCATAACTTTGGCAATCAACTATTTTTTTCATTATCTGACTCAGTAATTCATTACCAATTGTCGTGTTTCTAATTTTGAAAATGGCTGGAATAGGCTATATGGGAAAGTTTAGATCACTTCTTATCCCTTTGAGATAAAAATTTTAAAATTCTCGATAAAAGTGTCATTTTATATCTAGCAAAGAGGTTCAGTATCAACTTTATGTATTCAAAGTTGAAAAATAGGAATGAAAAGGTTCAGGACCCTTTTTCGTCCCTCGTAAAATAAAATTTTAAACAACCCAGCTTCCTAGTGCTGGGCATTGATAAATGAGTATTTTTTCAATATGAAAATCAATAATGATTCGACTCGATGCCCGAGCCTAGCCGAGGATTCAAAAGTCGAGCTAAGCTTCGAGTCGAACCAAGGTTTTTTGAAATAAAGCCAAGCAAGCTCAAGTCAAAGCCCAGCTCAACTGGACTGAAGAACAGCTCAGACAACAGCCAAAGAAAATTATAAATTACAACAAAATGTCTTACTTGAATAGTTAAGGGTTCATAACCTTTCTGTTGACAATTTTTATCTCTAAGCTCATTTTTAAAGAGATTAATTGATACCATCACTATTTACTCATGAATATTCATTCATAGTATACTATACGTCTCTGTGATTTTTTATTTCAGAATCTCTTAGGTTATATCCACCGATAACAAGTTTGGAAAGGAGGTGTATGAAGAATTATAAAATCGATGGTACTGACTTGATGATAGAGAAACATATAAGTATAACAATTCCAATATTTGGACTTCATAGAGATTCCAGAAACTACCCGTATCCGGAAAAATTTGATCCCGATAGATTTAGTGCAGAAAATAAACATAATATCCAACCACATACGTACCTTCCCTTCGGTATAGGGCCGAGGAGTTGTATAGGTAAGTTGTTTTCCCGACTTGATATGTAAAATTGGTATTATTATGACACCTTCATCAGATACAGTAAAATTCATGGACTTCTGCATGCAAATATGAATAAATCACAAGATGATAAGATTTATGAATTTTTCACGTGCAGATTGGATTATTTTAAAACATTTCAGTATATTTGAAACTCTCGTTTTCGACTGATACCCAGGGGGCAAAGAATCATTCCATATACCAATACTCTTGCGATAAATATTGGTACATGGAAAGATCACCTCATCAGTTCACTTAAATCCGCACTGAAAGCCATTTTTCAAATTATCGTGCACAAGGACTTCGACAAAGAGGTAACGATCAGTCAGTTGATAGAGTATTTCAGCTTTTCTTTTTTGTTCCTAATTCAACTTTCCAGCAGGGGGTGCTATACCAAACTCTTACGGAGGTTCGAAATAGATGAACACTTTAATCTGGCAGACCAATATTATAATCTTCATGCAGTCATTGTACACTGTGGTTCTGGCGTTGAATCTGGTCATTATTACGCATTGGTCAGAGACGAAACGAACTTGTTTGAGTTTGATGATAGTCGTGTCACTAAGTGATCTGGCAATGTCTTGAATTCATTGAAGCCTCATAAAAGAGAGGACATTGGTAGATCAGGATCTTCAGATGATGTGGTGCTGCGGGTTTTTCCGGGATTTCTTGCTGATGAAAAGCAAATGCGCCACTGGAATCAATGAAGTCGTTCCGGAGCGCCAATTAATTTTTTTTGTTTCATAATTTCATGATTTGTATTACTTTCTTCTTTAATATAACTCACCAATTTTTATCAACCCTAAAACATTTGATGGAAAGTGAGGTTTAGTGATATACCATGTGACAAGGCACAAAATAATCTTTTTGATGATATCATATTCATTAAAATTCACTTGTACAATGCGAAAATGGCTTCAAGAACAATAATCCAATACATTGGGAAGTAACGATAAATATAAATGAGTTGTAGTTATTATGAATCAAAACATTCACAATTAGTGGTAGGTTTCAATGTGAGGGTGCTTTGTGGAAATTGTGTTAACAAACTGTGAATTGATTCATTTGAAACATCACTTCATCAAGTATTGAGAATTTTATCCATTTGCTTCCATACAAAAATATAGATTTTGTTCGAATCTATTTTCAACATTTTGTGGCATATCAGATGTTATGCTTCTGCACTCTGCTACAATTCCTTGGCAAACATTCTCTTTGAACTTGGGCTTCGTAGAAAACAGCTGCATTTAAAGTGTCCCCCAAAAAAAAGTCTAAAGGTGATGAGTCAAGTAACCTGCTAAGCCATTCAGCTAGCCTTCACCTCCTGCAAATGACGCCAGTTAACATTGTAATTGCAGTCGAATTTTCAGTGACCTATGATATGACTGCCTGATATACTACAACAGACATTCATTTTTTGAGTGTGCTGTGTATGCCTATATACAGCTTCATTTGGATAAAATGTACACTCATCGGTGAAACTTATGTCGAATAATGATAGGTACCTGCTAACTCATTTGTTTACAAGATTGCAGTCTTCTACCAGGATCATTCTATTTATTTCCTATACTAATTTGATTCTGTATAAATGAAAATTTTTCGCTATTTAAATACGAATCGTAGACAAACGGGATACCCTTCAGGCTCCAGACAGATAATGGGTACTTTAAGTGTGATCCAAATGAATACGCCCCAAAACAACAACTTCCACAGCTTCATTTCTGATGGAGTCCTGCGGTTGGTGACGAATCTGCCATCGACAAACTTTCTAACTAACTTGACAACATACTAATAAATCACATCTTAATTAGAATGACTGTCCTTGAACAAGCCAGTTTGAAGAAGGAGGTTGACAATGTTTCGTGGTGTATTTCATCAGTTCGGACTTCCATTGTCTAATATAATATAAATTGATTTGAATTCCCTGAAAAAAATAAAAAATATCAACCAAAAATAACAATTTTACTGAAATTACAAAGAAATAACATACAAGCTACAACCATAAAAAATACAAAAATAAAATAATAAAAGATAAAAAAATATTTTTTATTTTTTTATGGTTGTAGCTTGTATGTTATTTTTATGTAATATCAGTATTTTGTTTAATGAAATTGTTATTTTCGGTTATCCTTTTTAATTTTTTTCAGGGATTTCAAATCAATTTATATTATATTAGACAATGGAAGTACGAACTGATGAAATGAGCCCGTCTAGTACAATTATTTTTTCGAAAATTGATTGGAATTAACTATGTTTTACAGTGGAATCTCGATTATTTCGAAAGCAATCAAACTGAATCACTGACGAGACTGGAATAATCGTTTGCGTTGATAATTTTTCTACACTTACCTGCAGTTTTTCTTGAAAAATGGAAGATTCAATTACGATAAAACATTGCAACATTGTGATCTCACTTTCGATAAAATTAGCTAATTGAGGAATGATTGTAGTTATTCTGAATCATTATACCCAAAACTCATTCGTGTTTTTCATGAATACCAAAATTATCGGGTTAATGTTCTCGAAACCGCTTTGGCATTGACTATTTTAGTAAATTCCATTCGATAGTGTATCATTGAAAAGAGTACATTTTGGATCACATTTTCAACACTTATTGAAGTAAAGTTTCAATAAATCGATTCAACAACTTGTTCACTTTTTTTCTACAAAGCACCGTTACCAGTAACCAACATCGAAACCTGCCGCTAATTGTGAATTTTTTTATTTCTAACAACTGCAACTTATTGGTAGTTTACGTCAATACCCAACTTTTTGGGGGAATGTTTTCGAAATCGTTTCTTTTTGAGTACATTTTGATGAATAGGGTATTAGTAGAAAGATAGTTGTGTGCCTTTTCTTATGACATATTACTCGATAACTCTTTTCATTTAAAATATTTGGATAGTGATACTCCCTCGCTAGGACGTTGAATATACGGGTTTAAGACAGAAGTCCCCCTCAAAAGCAAACTGCGCGTCTTTGAGAAATTTGGCTTTGAATTGCAAATGAAAGAGAAGAACTAGGTGCACTTTGTCGGCTGGACCGATTTTCACCTACTAAATGGTGTGCGTATGAATGGTTCTTATAAGTTCATTCAAAAAAGGTTCGACAATGTTTCACTCCATTTCATTGACTGAAATGGAGTGAACTGGTTGGAAATCTATGAAAGAGCAAATGAAATAAAACTCAATGTTGAAATTATTGGATATATTATACTAAAAATGATTGGACCGAAATATTTGTGAGAAAGCAAATATGTAAAGAAAACAAATTATTGTGATCTGAAATTGAAGTGGATTGATAATAGGTGAAATAATCAGTTCATTGTGAACTACTCCGTAGTCCCCGCATCGTCCGCAAAAGAAAACGATGCGGGGACTACGAAGAGAATGTGCAGCTAGCAGATGGAAGCATCCCACATCATTTGAATGCTTGACAGACGTATACAAATTTCGGGGTGGAACAACGCCACTTACAACGCCACAAGTATCAGCACAAAACTTCGACAGATCTGGTCATCGGAACTGTCGGGGAAGAATAAAGTTGCTGCAATAAATATGCTTGGCGTTCCAATCTTACTCTACTCGTTTGGAGTAGTGAAGTGGACTCGAGAGGACCTGTATCAACTCGTCGTAAAGACCCGAAAAATTATGCCGTTCCACGATTGTACTTCCCCCGACAACAAGAAAGCCATTTGGAGTGGCTACATGACAGAAGACAGAATGCTGCTGGATGTAGCATTTGAAGTCCAGTGTTCGGATCCCTTTCTCTGCATGGTCCGCGACCATGATAGATCAGGAATTGGAGCATTTTTGTTTAATAATGCTGCCCGCGCAGCCTAGGAACTTGGTTTAGTTTTCGACAGTGAACGAGGTGATTGCAACTCTGTCACCGAGTTGAAACCCGTTCAGCAAAATATGAAAGCCGCAGAGATTACCAGACTTCTGCGAAAACACAAGGATAAGCCAATGCATGGGGTCTTCTTCAATAACATTGAAGACCTTGGCATTGGTGAGCTGAGGTAAGAAACTGAGGGGTTCATCATGACTTTCCAGGAATGTGTATTCAACAACTCAGTCAACCACATTCGCGTGATGGGTATAGAGGTTCCTGACACAAGGTGCAAGGCCTGCCAAGAGGCGTCCGAGACTCTAATGCACTTGCTATTAACATGTCCAGCATATACAGTCTCGGCCTATATCCATCGACATAACGAGGCCCTAAAGTGCTATATTACCATCTAAGGCACTCTCAAGGTATTGACGAGACACCGGTGTTGCCCTACGCTCCGGGGAATATTGAATCCGTTGTGGGGAACGAGGAGTGCCGAATTTATTGGAACTTTTCGTTTCCCACTCTCAGGCTCATACAAGATAATAAGCCTTATGTAGATCAAGATGTAAATATCATCATCAAGATGTAAAATATCAAGATTTTCTCTTCGAACTTCGCAGACTCTATCCAGATCACCCTGTCAATATGGTTGTTCTGATTACTGGAGTCCTTCGAATCTTGAAATCATACCGGCTTGCCGCACTGAGGGAGAAATTTTAGCTAGACAGTTGAAGAAGGGTGTTATTCTTGGCTCACTGTGCTTGCTCAGGGTTCATGATTCTCGAACCCAATGATCACTTACCCCACGTTGTGGGGAGTGGTCGTTGGTTGATAACGCTGGCGTTATCGAATGTATCGAGGCTTCGGGGGATAGGGCCTGACCAGCACATACTACGGTGAAAAATAATAATAATAATAATATTCATGTACCATTTCGATCAATACAGTGAGTTTTACAATGAGTAAATATATCAGGTTAAACACACGAGTGTAGAATTCTTCTTGTTTGCGAGAGAAAAATAATACAAGAATAGAAATAACAATGAAATACAAGTTACAATACAAAATATAAGTGTACATATATATGGAATACAACATTATATGTGGATTTATTTCAAAATCTTCCCCTTGGTGATCGAAATACGTGTCGAGGTGTTAAAATAACGGTTTGGTGTTGGGATAAAACAGTAATATTCTCTCGAATAACTTGTTACTTATTGCTACAAACTGAATTTTATTTATTGGCAAAGTAACCATTTTTCGTTTCGAGAGTGAGATCTAATTCGGAATATTTTTCAGGTCAGCGTATTGGATTCTTGTTGATACAAATAGCTCTTGTCGAAATACTGAAGAAGCTCAAGCTGATTGTCAGCGCTTCCACACGATTACCGTTTGAGATGGATAAAGTGAATTTATTCTTAACTATTAAAAATCCCGTCTTTCTAAAAGCTGAAAAAATACAACACTGACAACAACAAGGAAGATTTCAGATAACAACCTCACGATAGTTTGTAAATGTTTACTATAGTAAAAAATGAAAGTTGCATTGTAACGGCAAAAACAAAACAAAAAATGATAAGGGCGCAACCAGTTTATTTTTATACATTCAAACTGGAAAACCTCCAGGTCTTTTGGATTTCGTCCTGTACTACACTAAATGACTTGGATATTAAATTATGCCGTGTTTTTGAAAAGATTATGATGATTTGTCGGTAGAAAGAGATAGCAAGCTTTACTTTGAACCGTTTATTTATTGAAAAAAAAAGGTTCGATTAACAACAAAATTAAAGGAAAGTTAGTATTAATGGGGAGTACACAGGTATTTTTTCAAAATTTATAAATGAATGGAATGAAGAAAACATGTTGAGAAAGTAGAAAATTACTGAATTATTATTTTTAATATTAACGAGTAAATACTGATTACTGATTCGATTCACTTCTGAATCTACCGTAAATGGAACTTGTGGCTAATTAGCCAGAATCAAAGTTATAATATAGATAATAAAAAGGTATATGAAACTTACTACCGCTTACCGCTCATCACATCCGTGATGTGATGAGCGGTAAAATTTCTAATAAATATGGAAGATTGTACAACAGATATTGGCATTGAAAGAGATTATCACTGATTTAATCTGTCAAATGATTCAGGATTCAGGTTCAGGTGTGCTTGATATAATCGGTTGGTAAACTGCCATACTGCACTCTCTACTTCAACCGCACGAAACGTATTTTGTTCAAACTCATCAATAACATCATAATTTTGCTAAGGATTCAACTGACTGAGACTGGCCCTTTTGGAATGAATAAGCCCGATACTAAGACCTTAAAATGCACAAAAAAAAGAAATTCCTACATAATACGTGATTGATAATTAGTTAGGACTACCATTCTTGATGAGGGTCTTGGATCATCACAAGGAAGTAGAAACTGATGAAATGTGCACAAGTAAGACTAAAGGGCGTACTAGTGAAGCCTGAAGTGCAGTAAGGGTTATTGGTGCCGAGGGCAGATCCGTACTCACATTAAATCAGAATAAAAATATAGGATCGTTTGAATAGTTATGAATGTTGATGAAAATCATATTGAGACAATAACACCTTCATTCAATTCGAAGTGACACATGTCTGAAGTAAATGGTGAAAATAGGTTTTACATTCGATTTATTGTCCTTTGAAATTATTCAATTCATCATGAATCTATCTTTTTGTTTCTTCAAAATTAGTTTTTATTAGAAAAAAAGCTGTCAATGCACTGATGACAATGTGAAAGTTTCAAGAGCATTTTACGACAAATTCCGCTATATAAATAATAACTGCTTGGCAACTTCAACTATCTAGAATCTTTTATGTCTTAATTAAATTTAATTTCATTTGTAGTCTTATTTATTCGTTGTGCGGTAGATGAACAATCTTATATAGATATTTGTTGGAAAGGTATACAATTTTATCTAAAACTATCTCTCAATTCTGAATGGCTGACAATTTTCCTTTATATACCTTTGAACTGTTCCGCGGTTGGATTATTATTGCACCCCCATGATATCTTATGTTTCTGAAAAACAATTCAAGGTGATCTTAACTGAATTTGTACATTGGTAGATATTTCAATAAATGTGTATCTATGTATGAGGTTTTTGCGTTCTAAAAATTTACTATACCTTACTCCTGATATAGACTATGAAACCAAAATATGCGGTACGTTAGTGTTTTTATATGTATGTGTACTAACCTATACTCATTACCATACCTGATAGTCATCCAAATTTGTGCCTAATTTCACCTGGTTTCTATCTGGGATTACTACGTACAAGATCAAACAAAGGACTATTAGAAAAAAACCTTTGTCGGTGTTCATAGAACAGCGGTGGGTAACACATTTATATAAAACACTAATATGTCGAAAATTTCAGTATTAGTAATCTTCTGATGATGCTAACTTAGTCACCGGAACGCGCGTCGATAGACCTTATTTTTGTTCCGGTGTGGAAAAAGTGTTTTCAATAGAATCATTTTACAAGTTCCAAATCTACTTATCGAGATTTTTGTTGTTGTCTCTCATACAGACTTACGATTTTGTAGGTACGTGTGGTAGATACCCAATGGGTAGATACCCAATGGAAAAACAACAACTAACCCAACTAATGCCGCGGAGAGAGTTGAAGTAAAACCATCAGGTACCTGTGCAACGTCTTCGACTTGGAAGACTCGTCGCAAGTTATTTCCCACTATGAAAAGCAGAAATTAATTTCATTTCCTCGATCTGACCAACTGACAGACAGGTTTCGGGGTGAATGACCCATCATCAGTACCGGGCATGGTCTCTTCAGAACAGTGTGAACCGTCTGAGTATCACGATCAAACAAATATAGTTCCAGCTAGTCATAGAAGCACTCTGCAGTTGATACGGTGGGATGTTCACTGTGCCACCTGCAGACAGAGCCAGGAAACAACTCCACAAGCATACTCCGGGGTGGGAGTAGGAATAATGGAGTTGTTTCCTGGCTCTGTTTGCAGGTGATGCAGTGGACATCCCACTGATTCAATTGCAGAGAGCTTCTATCACTAGATGGAATTATATTTGTTTGGTTGTGACACACACATTTCAGAGTTGAGATCTCGTAGAGGTAACATCTACTAGAAGTGAAGTGATATTTCAAGTGAAGACAAATCGAAGCGAATGCCAAGTGAGAATATTCAACATGTGCTAGTTGATTTTCTGCGGAGTGCAGAAGTGCTGACGTTGTGATTTGCTTATTTATATCATTATGAGAACTGTTCATTGCGTTTAAGAAGATCAATACTGAAGATATGCTATTAGCCGGTATGGAGGAACTGGCTACCTTGATTCTGGTCCATAGTAGGGCAGACATCAAAAAATTGTTCGAACTAGTCCAAGCAAGACTAGAGGCACGCCCTCGACTGTACGATGAAATCGAACAGCGCAAGGAGAAAACAAAGAAGCCAAAACAGCCGGAATTGGAAAATGCTTCCGGCCTCGGCCTAGCCTTCCACAGAGGAGGCTAGGCCGAGTATCTCAACACAGGTACCCCAAGTGATTAAGGTTCAAAATGTACCGATACCTGCAACCACACATGTATCTCAACAAACTCCAAATCCTCCGCCTATCACCATCAGACAGAAAGATAGCTGAACTCGATTCAGAGAGCAGGCCATCCGAGAAAAAATCGGATTCGAAAAGGCCATCAACACGACCGATGGCAAAGTATAGCCAGCAAGCACTCCTGATTACAGGAATATGATGGCACTACTTGAAAGGGTAAAAATTCCTCATCATACTTATAGTATGGCTGACGGAGAACCCCTCAGGGTTATCTTTCGTGATGTCCCAGAATTCTTGGACATCAAGGATATCAAAGGAGAGCTCATTGCGAGAGGATTCGACATCTTGTCAATCTCCCGCATAAAAAAGATAATAGCAAAGAGTCGCTGGTTCTTGTGCTGGTTCCCAAAACCACATTTATAACACGAGAGACATCTTGAATATAAGAGTCCGAGCAGAGACTCAGCGTCCTCGAGCAACCGTAGGACAATGCTACCGTTGCCAAATTTTTAAGCATACGCAGCGGAATTGCAAAGCAATTCCTATCTACGTAAAATGCGCCGGACGCCATTTGACGTCTGAGTGCGGGTGCATAACCCGCTAGCTTCCGAGGATGCTCAGCATTCCATAGAATGCATGTTGCCCCCAGAGGCAGCCAATTCCCGCCCCAAGGAGGCCCATCGGGGTCAACGCGACCAGGAGAGAAGTTTCCTACGTGAACGCGGCTCAAGGCTCTAGCAGATAACAACAATAGAACGTTAATGCTGTTGAAGTGCCTAGTCGCGGCACTAGACCAACTTGAGTGTCTGATGACTCAGTTTCCCACGCTACACACGATGTTCGCGGCGAACACCAGCGTCACCACCAAGTACTAAATGGCTGAACGCCATATAGTACCTGATTCTCTGAAGAGAGTCACCTGGAATACCAACGGATTACTCAGGAAGAAACTTGATGTAGAGAACTTCCTGACAGAAAACGACGTGGATATTATGATCCTGCAAGAGACCCACTTGCAAAGAAACACTATAGCGATCCTGAACTATATCTTTTATAAAAAAGACAGAGTCGGCAGAAGCATAGATGGCGTAGCCATCCATGTACTAGGATCCGCCGCTGTTTCTAGAGAGAGAGAGAGAAGTATAATTTCTTGTTTAGGACCTACTCCTAGTAGGAGTAGGTCCACAGATGGATTGTGAGCAATAAAATGTAGAGAGAGCGTACACACATCATTTGTCAACCTGGAAATAACTGTGGCCGTGGAAATTCCAGGGTGGAACTCAGCTTTTTTGTATTTGTTAATCATGTCATCTATTGTTTGTGCTGGTAATTGAAAAAAATTGCAAATCATCCCTCAAAAATGTGTTGAATATTTCATTAAGTTATCTGTATAATCCTGTCGTTGATTTTGATTCTGTCAAAACATTGGAACAGCAGTCATACAGCAACATAGTACTAATTAGTACTACAACTACCAAATTCTAGGCGGGCGAAGCCGCGGGCAACAACTAGTATATTCATAAATATTCACTCAATTCAAATTTTCATGACAACCACATACAGATTAAATTAGATTTATAAGACACAGGTTGAATGAAGCTATGAATAATAACTCTCCCAATATAATTCGTTATAATCACTTGCCTAGGGAAGTTGAATCTTTGTCCCCCAATTGTTTCAATCAAAGTGTGAAACAGTTCTTATCAACTCAAGTTTCTTTTTCAATATATTAATCGCTTCTGGAGTTAATAATGTTTTGATGTGTTTGATTATTCATGCTGTATATCATAGTGTTTTCAACTGACCCTGTGATTTTTTTTCCAAATATAAATATAATATCTATTTGAATACAATTTTTTTAATAAGCCTTGATACAATTTTACTCTTACATGAATGTAGCCAAATAAAGTATGTATACGTCTATAGGGTATTACATTCGAATCAGGAAAGTTGTTACCAACTTTTGGTATATCCGAAAGTATGTATGAATTTTGTGTGAAGTTATTATGCTTGATAATGTTCTGGACTTTGTTCCAATATAATGTCAATCACAATTTTTTTCTAGTATATTGTAAACATCGTTTAATTTTTTCAAATCAGGTGTAGAATCTTTCAATGTGTTTTGGTACTTCAAATAACTTCAACTTTGATTATTTCCCAATATCAGAAAAGAAAAATATTTTATCCTGTCTTCTATCTGACTATGAGAATTTTCATTTGTACTTACTGACTCTCACTGACTCTTACTGACAGTAGTAAAAATAATTTTGTTGAGTAATTTTTCTGGAAAAGAATTTTCTACTAGT